TGATGATTTTTTTGCATGCTAATTTGGAATGATTCAAAAAAACCTATTTATGAAGCTTTGCAGATGGCGGAGGCGCAACAACTAATCGACATTTGCCGCGAGTATTTAGTGGGTTTACTAATGGAAATCGCACGAAAAGAGTTACCAAAAGTTGTTGAAAACGCTGAACGAAATGCCGAAATGGCTGCATATTTCACGCATTGCCAACTTCAACCAGTATATTCTTTCTTATTTTGGATGATCATTGACAAATTAATAATTAAATAACATTCGTTCAATATTTTAATTAAAAAATGGATGCATTGTATGAAAAATATGATAATTGTGTTCCTGTAGAAAATGCTAGCTTAATTCTTGAATATAATAATTGAATAGCAACTTAGACTATGGTAAATGGGATGCGGCTGATACGATATAGGTTTCCATTATTTAAAAAAAGACCCAGTTTGAAAGAGGGCACATGATTAGAATACTCAAAAATCCTTCCGTTTCCCTAGTGGCGAGTAAGGATACTCAATGAAATGGTTTTGTATTATAATAGCGTTTGGTGTAAAAATATGTAAGTTCATTTTGAAAATCACTGCAAATTGATGTTAGAATGAGAAAAGAATCGTGCAGAAACTTTACGAAATGCAACTTTCCTTCAGGTGCATCAAATATTAACGCTTCGGACAGCGGTGAATTTATTTTTCAAGTTGAAGCAAATGAAAAGCTGTGCATCCTTTTGCAAGCGTTTGCTGGAATTAGGTAAGTTGCTCAAAATTTTGGAAAGAAAGCCGGAAGCGAAAGTTTTGTTTCGGCTTTCTCTATCTACTTTTTTATCTACTTCCTATCTACTTTTTCTCTATCTACTTTTCTTTCTACTTTGTCTTTGTTTTTGAAATTGTTTTGACTTGCTATTGCTGTTTGCAGGACCGAAAGCAGAAATTGCTGCACAGATACGGAAGGTATTAATGGTCGCTGAGAAAGAGCCGAAAGACACGCATGAGGTCTCTCTATTAACTTTCTTCAACAAAACTGAATAAATTTCGCAAAATAAGTTTTCAAATCAAAATTATTGTTGTTTGCGCTGTTTAGACTCATTTTCTTGCTCTGTGGTGGATATACATATTTTTTGGAAATAACCAAATATGGGTCTAAGCAGCACTAATAATTTTTGATATGAAAAATCAATGAGTTTGCACAGCCAATTGAACAGTTCTGTTTTCCGGTTGAATAAGTATAACTTAGGTTTACTTATACATTTTTTTTCAAACACTGACATACCAAATTTATGATTTGCAGCTGGAATACGATGAATACAATCCATTTGTTGTTTGTTCGAGAAGATTCAAACCTTTGTACCGTGGAAAACCTCAGGTTGATTGTTCAATCTTTCTTGGGAAAAAGAGGATAGTAATTTTTAGGCTTTATTTAATTCTTGTAAGTTAAAAAGTAATAATTTTGTAAACTTTTTCAAGTGAACATAAATTGGTGCAACGATCGCCTTGAATAATGAGTATCCTTGAAAACTGATACTTTATTTGGATTCAGCAAACAATGGAACTGTCAGTAGGAAATGGTTTGAACTGAATGTCTGGTATTTGTCTGGCAGTATGAACAATAAAAATCATTACATTATGAGAAACTGTGCATTATTTTTTCAAACATCTATCCTTTCAGGTAAAATGTCCATTTTGTGGTGCATCATACTCGCCAGATATTACTGGTGAAATATGTGATGTTTGTCAAGTAGCTGAAATAGGTCGTGATGCAACTGGTTTGAAGATTGGCACTATTAGAAGTGGGCGCTAAGAATTTTCCGATTTTTTTTCCGTAAATTTTGAGATAATGTAATATATTTTCCTCATCGTAACGTTTAGAAGCACTTGAAATGCATAGAAAACAAAAAAAAAGTCAAAATCTTCTGCCTCTCTTTGTAGGAGATAAGAAGATAAGCATCGCAATGAGTTCACTTGAACTGCTTTGAGTTTCAGTCTTACGATTTTTGAGTTGACAATTTTTGAATTGAAGAATTTATTTCATTGTCTCGTATGATTGATGATGGTTTTATCAACCAATATTTGTTCATTAGTTGAATTGTTTGTTATAAATATGTTATTAGTATTCTGTGATAAGTATTCTTTTTTAAGCATCCTTCGTAAATAAACATTTTTTGCTGTCCCTTAAAGTTATCAGATTATGTATTTCCAAACTGATCTAAATGTATAAGCAGGATATTGATTTGAAGCAAAAATTCTAATACATTCATGCAATCAGGATATAGCGAGAAATTAAGGTGTTGGAAATTCCTAAGCGACAATGATAATTTGTTAAAACAAAAAAGGCAATTATTAAATAGTTGTTCATGTATACTAAAACGTATGTCAAAATTAGCAGACCATCAATTAATAGTAATACCGAGTTATTTAACGTATTTTCATTTAACGAAGTGAGATACCGTTGAAGATACATGTCTCAATTTTTTTATAATTTGCTTATGAAATTCCGATTTCGTCTGTTCTCAATCATTTTGTTATTTTCATTGTTTACAACTTGATAAGTTTGAGAATGAGTTTTCATATTCTGGAAGAAGTGAATAAATTAGTCATTTGAATCACTGTAAATCATTTATAAAAGCAATAGTTTAATGCTTATCACTTCTTTGATAATACATTGTTAGTAATATCGGCAGCAATTTTTACAGTTACATGAATTGTTAACTATTCTGTTATGTTTCCAAAAATTATTTATTAGCTAGATCTTTAAGTTCTCGTATGCCTTTAAAAGTTAATTATTGCATGAATTTTTGTTTCCTGTGATAATATGATTGCAATAATTGGTAATTATTACTTTTCTCGTGAATTTGAATGATAAAATAAACGACACAAATAATTCTTAGTAAGTAATACAAGAAGATTCCATAGTATAAGTACCAGTGATAGTTTTTAACACGAATAAAATATGTTAACACTTGTAAATAGTAGTGCTGCATGCAATCGCAATAATAACAGCAATTATCTATTATCACATCACAATAGGAATATAATATGTTAAAATTAGTAAGTAATAGTGTTGCATGCAATTGCAATAATAGCAATTATCTGTTATCATATAACTTAAATGCTATTATCACAAACGGTAAAATATATCATCTTAATTAGAAAATAAGGTATTGAACAAAGATAATTATCAAGAATATAAGGAATCCTGGAATATTACGTAGTAGTAAGCATTAATGATTTGAATTGTTTTTGTTAATAGTGAATTAAAATTATTAAATTCCAAGAAAAAGGTATTGTTTGAAAATGTGTCAATTAAATTTTTAATCAAAACAATAGATGACATTTTATTTTATATTATTTTCTTTTGTTTTTTGTTTGCTTTTAAATTTCCCTTTTTAAGTTTTCCTTTTTTCCGACATTTTATAAGTACTTTTTGGTTGATAATAGTATATAAAAGGAAAGATGAAAAAAGAAGGCCACTGTTATCAAATATTATCAGTATTATCTGATAATGGTTGATAATGAATTTAATTTTAGTTTTCTCTCTTTCTTTTATCTAACATAATTAAATTAATCAAAAATATAATTTAAATATATATCATTTGAAATGAAATTCTGCTATATTAAAATTTTGTAAATCTAAAATAGATCAACATTAAATAGTATTCGAATAGGAATTAACGTTGAAAAAGCAATCACTTCCTAAAATCTTTCTAAAACCTAAAATCATTCTAAAATCTTTCTATACGAATAGCATAACGTAGAAAAATCACTTCCTAAAATTATTATTAAAAATGCTTCATAATGATATTTTCATTTTTTTTCCATGAATAATTTTGCATAATTCAAAAATGAGTTTGGCTAAAATTTTTAAGCATATTCGTTGTTTTTACTTTTTCTTCCTACCACTATTAATGTTTAAGGAAAAAATTGTAGAAAATTTTAGGCTATCCAAAATGCTATATTTATCTCTCTTTTTACATTCTTTTATTTCAAATAAAATTCACTGAAAATATTACGATAATTGACTGATATTGTAACAACTAACTTATTATTATGGTAGGATATTATATAGTATATAGTCTGGATATTATGTCTATGTTATTGTAATTAAATACTTAATTTTATTTCGATACTGTATTGAACAATATCATACACTGCTGTTTGTTATTGAGAATAAATTATTATTGATAATTTGTAAATATTATAGAAAAAAATTCAAATGAATAAAATATATAAAATAAAAAATAAAATATATATAATATATAATAATAAAAAAATAATAAAATAAAATATATATATAAAATATATTTATATAAAATATGTAAAAAATATAATAAAATAAAATATATTGAGCATCGATTTGAACTAAATTGAACCACAGTTTGTAAATATGAAAGATTGCATATCTGAAATGAAAATGGATTTACTGAATTACTTTAAATAATTACACCGAATACTAATAACAACTGTGAAGACCAGAAGTAATATATAGTTGGAAAACTATAGAAAATTGCAACATTATGTTCTACGATCGGCGAGAAGCAATAACAAGATTTATCTTGCAGAAGAGAAATGAAAAATGTTTGAAAAATCATTCACTCTATTAATTTTACAAGATTATTTTAAAATGGTGAAGAAGGAAAAAGGTACTATTGTTATTACTACTATTATTTATCATCATTATTATTATAACTTGCTGACATTATTATTACTATTATTATTGTTACTATCATTTATTATTATTTATTATTATTGTTTATTATTATTTATCATTATTATTTATTATCAATGTTTGTTGCTATTATTGTTATTTATTACTATTATTTATTAAAAATATTATTATTGTTTATTATTATTGACTACCTATTATTATTAATTATTTCTCCTAATTTTTAGCTAAAGCCGCATAAAACGAATGTATTCTCATGAATGCGGAATAACATTTTTTTTTGTCCAAAATAAGAATAGCATTATCATTCATTAAGTTAATTAAAGCATAGTAGAATTGAAATGAAAATTAGCTTCTAATCCTCACAGATCTATAGGCCAATCCATAACAGGGATACTGTTTGCCTAGCCAAGTTAAATATTATTCATTTGAGTGAACTCATGGATATTGCTAAAATCATTCCTATTCCTTTTCTTTTCTTTTTAAATTTCAATATGAGAAATATTCAACTGCATGCGCTAAATATTCATAATGTAGTAAATGTTTATCTATTATAATAATTGAATAAACTCATGGATATTTCTAAAATCATTCCTATTCCTTTTTAAATTTCAGTACAAGAAATATTCAACTGCATGCATCCATTTGAAAAATGCATGCTAAATATTCATAATACAGTAAATATCATCTGTACTTGCAAATTAGCTCACTTCTCTTTACAGGACTAAATTTAATAGAAAAACTTCAGGCCTTAATATTGTAACTTTAAAGATGTATCAATCTGGAAATCGTAGTATTGTCCTTCGTAAAGGACTTTTATATTTCTTGCAGTTTAAAATACCAATCTTTATGTTTGAATTTTTTCCGAATATTCTCTCCTTCATTTATATTAATTTAAAAATTTGTAGGTTTTAATTTTCAATAAATATCTTTTTTATTTCATACATTTATTTTCTCTTCTTAATTATCAAATATTTTAGAAAACAAAAGAAAAGCTGGCAGAAACAAATTTGTAATATTTTTATTTTTGAGAATTTATCCAACTTATCCATTCCTTTTTTTGTCAGAAATTAAATTAAATTTTGAATTTTCATTTAATGAAGCGAAAAAATAATTTAATTGCAAATTATTTGCATTTCACTAATTTCTATTAATTATTACTTTTAGCAGAAATTTTTAATTGTTAGAAGCTTTCTGTTAATTAATTAGAAGCGTATTGCTACTATTTATTATTTTTATTAAGCATATTTTAGGTTTCGAATAACAAATAATGCAACATTTGGTGTATATTGGAAAAGTTTTATTAAATTTCAGTAACTTATTTATTGAATTTCAAATTTGAACTGATTTTGTATTTTAGATAAATTAAACTAAATTTCAAAAATTTTTTAATTAGTTTTACATTTAAACAAAAAAGCTCGAAATTTTTTCGGTAATTTATTTTCAATTGTTTTTTTTTTAACATATGCAATAATTTGGAAGAAATAAGAAGCTACAAATATTCAACGTTTCTAATCGTCGTTTTAATTGATCCATAATTTCTTAATTGCCTTATTTTCTTCTCTTTATTTTGTCTTAATTTTTGGGATTTAATTTTAGGATCTAATACATTTTTAAACCATGATAGAAAATAAAATTTTGATTTGAATTTCAACTTATCAATAAAATTTCATATTTTTAAATTGTTACATCGCTTCAGTGTATCATTTTTCATTTGTTGAAAAATGCCCCAAAAATGTCGATCTCATCATATTTTCAATTCCTTTCAATAATCATTCTTCGAAATTATCAAATTGACAAGGCTTTTTCTTTTAATAATTAAATTTTACTAATTTCAACATAGTTTTTCTCTGATGTCTTTGTCGAAAACAAAAATAAGAATATCAGGTCTTTTATATCTTAGTCGAAAAAAGAGAATATTAGGAAAGAATATCAGGTCTCTTATATTTTTGTCGAAAGCAAAAAAAGAATATTAGGAAAGAATATCAGGTCTCTTATATCTTTGTCGAAAGCAAAAAAAAAAAATATCAAAAAAGAATATCAGGTTTCTTATATCTTTGTTGAAAACAAAAAATGAATATTAGGAAAGAATATCGTGAGATGGTAAAATTTATGATACAAATATGCAATGATTCAATTATTTATTTTCACAAAATTATCAAAGACATTTTCAATTCCAGTATATTTCAGTAAAATGAAATGAAAAAATAAAATAAGCTTAAAAATATAATAAAAGAAAATGTAAAATAATGAAAATTTTCATTCATTCAATTTACACCACCAAATGATTTTAGTTTGAAGATAAAGTGATGATCGTTCTATTAAATTTTATGTTTGAAAATTTTGCAGTTAAGCTTTTTTGCATTAACAAAGAAACCAAGAATGACTGAAGGAAAAGTGAAAAGAAAGATGATCATATCTTTTAGATTGGTATATTTTGTTTCAAATATTTTGTTTTAAAAATCTATTCATTTGTCTTGTTTTGTTTTTTGTTTTTTGGAATTTCAAAAGTGTTGGAAATTTGTATAGCAAATTATTTTTGTTTCTATTAAATGGTAAATAAGAATTTCCGTCTTCTAATATTTAATTTATTTTTTTAAACCTAAAATTATTCCATGAATAAATTAAAATGAAATGGCTGAAATCACTACTCTATGATAGAGTGAGAAATTCACTTCCAAAAATATAATTTATGAATTTATGAAATGATCTCTGCTTGAGATGCATACTATAACCTCTGCATGGTCACTTCCTGTAAAATATAAAATATAAAATTTTATTTTGGGAAGTTATTGATTTTCAGAATAATATCATAAATAAAATAAAGGAAAGGTGTAAATAAGGGAAATGATAAATTTAGGAAAGATTTATTGAAATATTACATTTTAATTAATTAGTAATTATTTACTAAAAAAAAACTAAAAGATTTGAATAAAGGGAAATTCATAAAATTATTCATTTCTTTTTGTTTCACTTCACAAATTTCAAACTGTAATATATCCTATTCATATTACAACAATAGCAAAATTATATATAAGTGATAAATGAGAGTAATTAGCATATTCAATGTTACTTTTTGTTTTGGTATTATTTTAATTTCAATTTGGCTGACAGAATAAATTGCTAATTTGAAATATGAATCATATCAAAGATAGTAAAATAATAATATGCTATAATAATTATGCATATTATTTTAATTTTAATTTAGACACACAGAATAAATTGCTAATGTGCAATATAAATCATATCAAAAATAGTAAGATAACAATATGCATAATAATTATGTATTTTAATTTTAATTTAACTGACAAAATAAATTGCTAATTTGAAATATGAATCATAACATAGATTATAATCAAAGATAGTAAAATAGCTATAATAATTATGTATATTATCATAATTTTAATTTAGCTGACAGAATAAATTGCTAATTTGAAATATGAATAATATCAAAGATAGTTAAATAACAATATGCTATAATAATTATTTAAAATTTAGATTTAAAATTTTAAATCATATGATTAATAAGTAATAGGAGGATGAAAATATAAGTAAAATAACAATAATTTCTACCATTACAATTGATCGTTCCTTTTTCAAATTCGATCATAAACACAACTTAATAATTATTTTCGCAAAATTCACAATCATCACAAAATTCACAAATTTTCACAATTTTACAAAATTCACATAATTAGCATATAATTAAAGAAATGGATAATTGCTTATACTAATGGTTAAAATTTTTGAAAATTTTAAAATTAAACAAAATCATTTCAAAAAATTACAACAAAGTGTAGAAAATAAAAACAAACAAATTTTTACGATAAAACAACATTGAGTTGAAAAATATCAACGATTCATTTTAAAGCTAAAATTTCGCTTTTGTTACTACTGCTTGAGGATTTGAATTTTAGTGTAAATTTATTTTGAAAAATACTTTTGACAACAAATTAGTAAATTTAGCTTTTTATGTTTAGTAATTTAGAATAGTTTTGCATAATAGTTTGAAACAGTAATGATTTCAATTTATTAAATTAATGATTTTAAACAATAACGATTTCAAATTTATTAAATCAAACAAAGAAATAAACTAATTTCAATTGAAACAATTTATTTTTGTTTACAATTTTATCAGTGCAAATATATTAAGTGAATTATTTTAGCGAATTGAATACATAGCAAAACAAGTAATCGTTTCGGTCTTTATTTTATGTTGATTTTACAAATTATAATGTATTAATTGGATTTAATCATTTCATTTTTCTTTAATTGAATATATTCAATTGGTGCATTTATTATTTCTTTATGTTCAATTGACGCGCCTGAAATTATTTTAAATTATTTATCGCATACGAAATTATTTATTACTTCCTTTATATTCAATTAGCGCATCTGAAATTGTTTGAAATTATTTATCTGGAATCATTTAAACAAAAACTTTGATTTTTATTTATTTCAATATAAGAACCAGTAGTTTAGGAATCATATGCTTATAAAAAATATGATAATACAAATTAACACTATTTTGCAAGAATGTAACTATCATCAAATATTAAACATGTATAGCATTTGATTTTACGGATGAATTAGACTGGCAATAAACTTTCTTTATGTTTAATTGACGCAACTGAAATTGTTTGAAATTATTTATTTGAAATTATTTTTTATTTTCTTTAATGTTCAATCTCATTCTACACATAATTATGTTATTTTAAAATAAATTCTAACAAGCACCACTTCTGTGATAATTTATTAAAAGAAAGACATTTCAAATATTTTAGTTTCTTTCTTATAGTGAAAATTATAGTGAAACATTATAGTGAAACTTATAGTAAAAATTACAGTGAAACACAATTAGAAAGTGAAAAATTAAAAATCCAATGATCAGCGTTTAATAATCTGTTTGATAGCTCGTAACTAATATTTAGGTTGAAACTTAAAACTGCGTGATTCTTTTTTTTTTTTGTTTTCAGAATTCTAACATCGTGATTTTTGTTAACTTAAAACTACGTGATTTTTGTTAATTTAAAACTACATGATTTTTCTTAGAAACTCAGTGATTCTTTTCTTTTTTTGTTTTCAGAATCCTAACATCGTGATTTTTGTTAACTTAAAACTACGTGATTTTTGTTAATTTAAAACTACATGATTTTTCTTAGAAACTCGGTGATTCTTTTTTTTTTTTGTTTTCAGAATCCTAACATCGTGATTTTTGTTAACTTAAAACTACGTGATTATTCTTAGAGACTACGTGACTTTTTTTCTTATTTTTCAGAATCCCGACATCATGATTTTTGTTATTATTTTTTTTTTTTTGAAATTCTCTTAAAATTCAGAAGAAAATAAAACAAAAACGAAAAAAAGAAACAAATAGAAGTCAGCCATTACTTACAATAATTTTTAAAAAATTTTTTTTCCATTTCGAATTATTTTCAGAAGTTTAAAAAGAAAAAGAAAAATGAAACTATCAACCGTTGAATTTTATCAATTTATCGTTTTTGAATTTTAGCATTGACTGGCAAAATATTTTACAATTTCACAATTTTCAATTGTTAGGTTTTACTAATTTTTTTTTTTTTGATGATGATGAGTTTATATTTTAATTTATATTATATTTTTTTATTATAAGTTTAACGTAAATGAAAAACTTTTTTGAGAGAATGGATAAATTCTGAAATTTAAATTTCAAATAATTTTTTGAATTGCACAATTTTTATTTGATAAAATTTCTTCCAAAACGAATTATTAATAGTTTAAGAAAATTGTAAAAAAAATTTTTGTTAAAATTAAAAAATTAATTAAAAAAATTGTTACATTTCTTTTTACTGAAAATTTCGAAAAATCTTTTCTAACATTTTTATTGAATGTAAAAAAGCAACATTTTGTTAGTGGCAAATTATAATTAATCATTAATTCTTTTAAAACTTCAACAAAGCAAGAAAGCATTTTTATTATAACTTTAACGAATAAATTCTCTATTTAGCTCTTCCATTGTTGGAGCAGTTTTCGCATTTTATCTGTTATTTCCAGTTAAGCTAATCAGTAAATTTAATTAGCGATCATTATCATTCGTTAGCACCGGATAATTCTGATTGTTATCATTCACCGGATAATTGCGATCATTATCATTCGTTTGCATCGGATAATTCTGATCGTTATCATTCGTTAGCATCGGATAATTCCAATCATTATCATTCGTTAGGATAATTCCGATCATTATCATTCGTTAGCATCGAATAATTGCGATCATTATCATTCGTTTGCATCGGATAATTCTGATTGTTATCATTCGTTAGCATCGAATAATTCTAGAAAAATAATTGATAAGAAAAAATCATGATTTTTTTTTACTATCAGTTAAACTTATTAAAAGTGAAAGACGAAATGTAAATTCAAAATTAATATGCTTAATTGCAACTTGAAAAATTTTTCAAAATCATTAACTCTAACTAATAACACCAGACAATCATAAATGATTTGTAAACTTAACTCTTACAACAATTATTTAGCAAATAATTAAATAATTATTTTCCATTTTGAATGATAAAATGTTATCTTAATATTTAATAGAGAAAAAGATTATTATTATCATTAATCCATCGGTTCTTTCTTTCTCTTTATTTATAGTTTTCTTTCACAATTTTTAAATTTCATTTCCATTTATTTCAACTTATTTTAATGTTGTCACTAATCCGTTTAATTTTTTGCTTTCTGAATTGAACTAATTGAACGACTAATTATATTAATACCTGAAACAAATACCGATAACGTAGATAAGTATCATATGATTGAATTTTTCCAGTTTTGACATATAACTTCAAGTATTTCCGTTTTTCCGTATATTATGTTGAATTATATTAAAACTAGAAACAAATACCGATAATGTGGATAAGTATCATATGATTGAATTTTTCTAGTTATGACATACAACTTCAATCACCTCCGTTTTCCGTATATTATGTTGCATTTGCTATATCGTTTCTCCATGTATCTATTGTTGAATTTTTTTAAGGAAATCTTAAATAAAACAAAAGTATGTGGCAATTATTCATATTAGCTATTGCTCCATGCTTTTCGCATCCTCAATTTGTTGGTAGCTTAGTAAGTTTCCATAAATTTATTAAATAATAAATTAGACAAATTATTCCTTTGAATAAAAGCTTTTCAATAGCTTAATTTTTTTTACTTCAATTTAAAAATTTTAAACAAATCGGTTTAAGATAATTTTAATTAAAGATCTTATTCTATGGTTAATCACATAATTGTTAAGATATTTTAATTATAGTAAAATATATATATATATGTATGGCAATTGCTAGATCTTATTCTACAATTAATTTCATAATTGTTCTTTAAAGTAATTTAAAAGTATTTAAAAATTTTATTCAAGTAGAAGATAGTTTTAATTTCATGATACATTTGATTTTTGCCTTCAGAAGAAGTTTATTATTGAAATGAAATTACACTTAGTGATATTTAGTGAAATTAAGTAAAAATTAAGTATAATTAAGTATTAAGACGTTTAATGAAATTAAGTAATAATTAAGTATTAAGATATTTAAGGAAATTAAGAAAAATCTTAATGAAATTAATAATTATGATATTTTTTAGGCATCACAATGTAAACCGAGCAAAAATCCAAATTCTGATTGTATTGGAGCAGATTTTGTTAAAAGTGATGGAAAGTTTGTTTATTTTATAGTTTGTATGAATAGAAGATGAAAATTTTAAATTTACGAAAACATTGAAAAACCATATATTTTTGGTGACAAAAATATTATGCTAAGAATTAACTATATGAGAAGATGATTAGCTTATTTTCGAAGTTATCAAAACTATTCATTTATCAGTTGTCTTGTATGTTAATGAAATGGGAAAAGTTTGGCATTAATCTACTAATTTAATTAAAGATTAAATTCATCTATGTATAAGCTAAAATTTCCTTTAATAAATTTCAATATTTAACTCATTGATACAAAAATTTAAAATCCTGAAAATTTAACTATAAATTTAGAAAAGAAAGATAATTTCAGATTTTATTCGAATATGTAAAATCATCAGATTTCATAGAACTGAAATTTATTTCAGAATACAATCTTGTGTGGAACATAAAGATTGTTATGATTATCGAGAACCAATACTCTGGTGCCGACCTAATCCGAAACAGAAGTGGATGTCGGTCTTTTCAATTTCTTAATGAAATCTTAAACAATTAAAATATACATATAAAACTAAGTATATTTGGATACGACATGGCAACTTATAAAACAATGTTAATAAGGCTATGCTTCCTGAATATAGCATAACCTTACTATTTTCCTGCAAAATTTCGACTGGCTCGTTACTACGACAAATCAGTTTTGTCACACATATTAATTATAATACGTGCAAATAATCCGTTAAATTGCATACTGCAAAAGAAATATTATGAGATTTTTCCGTTTCAAAGCTGTAGAAATTTTTACTTACAGTCTTTGAATATTTTAATTCAAGTAATTATTTATTCATTTTTTACAATTATTTACCTACAATTTTTTGAATCCATACTTTTCAATAATTGTAGGAATAAACGTGCAATTTATTTTACAGAGAAGATGGCTGCCACTGTGATTTAAAACTTCAATCATGCGTAATTAATCGTCAATCATACGGTCGTATGGAATATACTAATTGTCTTTCAGCGCTACATTGGTATTGTCCTTAAATAGGCTATGTAATTTTACTATTTATCCATTCTTCAATTTGTCAAATTTCAAAAGATACTGTTAAACTATAACTATTCAATCATTGATGTATTCAACCCCAACTATTTATCATTTCTTATCAATTTCTTGATTATTTTACATACTTGTTCGTTTCTTTTATTTCGTAGTAAAATTTTTATGAATTTGCATTTTACGAATTTGCAAAATGTGATAAAAAAATTAACATTATATTGATTCATATATTAAATCATTTAACAAATTATAATTATAATTAAAAATTACAATTATAATTATAACAAATTATAATTTTATAATTTTGATATGTAACCATAATTCCCACTTCCTTTCAAAATTTCCATGAAATTTCTTCACCCAGAGAAGATATTCCGATAATTCCGACGAGGATATTCCGATAATTCCGAATAATTTTACTACATCCAAATTGAAATTACCATCACTGAATGTCTTTTCAACAATAAAAAGAAAATTAAAACGAATTCTCAAAAGTAAATTATAATATTGATTTAATTTCCGAATGTGTTTAGCTTATGTTTTCGATGTTGCAACATTGCAAATCTCCGATTTTAGTGTGAGTGATATTAAAATGAAATAATTTTGATTGAATTTTTTAAAAAGTATTTTTTGCTTAGCAATTCGATGATATGATATTGTTGCTTAAAGCTTATCTTTTCAATTTAGAAACTTACAGTCTTTCGGATTATTTTATATGAAAGGTTTGCATGATAATACATTCAATATTGATAATTAGATGCTAGCAAATTATTGTGGAACAAATTTCATAAATACCAATGAACTCTGATCAGCATTTATGAAAGTATAAAATTTAATCACTTTTTCACTGGCATTGTCAAAATATGAAAATACGCGTAAATCTGCCAACACATCCATTTGTAACCATTTGTATGCATTTTAAACGTTGCACTAAAATTTTTGAAATTCCTTAGAAGCTCCTAATTTTATTATATCTGACGGATCTTGAAGTTTGCAGAGTTCCACAAGACTTTTTCAAATGTGCAAAAAAATTATTTCCATATTTATTTAGTCGATTTTTTACAGTAATAGCTACTATAGAATCCTGAATCCATAGCAGAAAATGTCGACTGATTATTGAAAAATTATAAATTGTTCGTTTGATCCGGAATATGTCTTCATTTCATAACTTCTTGACTATCTTTATATCATCAACATAATAGAACACAGAATATATTATCTGTTCGTCAAATATTCGTTACTCATCACAAATAAAGAATTCTCATTTCCTGATAATGTTAAAGAGACTGGAAAACTTGATGAACAACCTTTATCACATTTGCGATTCCCAAAATTAATTTCTAATATGGTAATTTTGGGAATTGTTTGAGTTTAAGTTGCAACAAAAAAGCAGACATTCATACTGGAATATAATTTCGGGAATTCATTTAATCAATCAATAAATTCGATATTAAAAGGAAATTGCAGAAGTAAAAGAAAAGAGTTGGAAATTTAAAGTATATTTAAAGTAGAAATTTAAAGTGTAACAAATCAAGATACTGCTATTAAGCAAATTTCAAAACTTATCGAATTTCAATTTATCATCACTTATTTCAATAATTAACTAATATTGATGGTAATGATAAGAGATATCTTTTTTCTCAGCAAAAATATAAAAATCAGTAATTTTTTTTTATCAATCAAAATTAGTCATTCATTATTTAATATATGTTTTCAATTTATCATCATCTATTTCGATGATCAACTAATATTGATAATAATGATAAGAGATATCTTTTTTTTGCAAGCAAAAATATAAATATCAATGATTTTTTTTTGAATTAGTCATTAATAATTAAATATATGCTTTTAATTAAATTTTAATTAAAGATGAAAAGAAAAATTCAGAGCTATTACACTAGGTAAAAATGAATGATGTTCCTTTTGTTTTCTGTTAGACTGCAAATCTTCATTATAGTTTATTGCATATATATATATATATCAAATTCTATTATGCTACGTGACAGCTCACATTAAATTTATTAAAATTACAACAACAGTTATGCAAAAATTGGATATATTATACCTGAAAAATTAATAATAATTGTACCAAATCATTTATATTAACTGTGAGAAAACGAAATTGAAAACTTCGATGAAATTTATAAATTAGGTGGACATATCCAGGATGATTGTGGTGCACAGAATGCATAATTTCGTATCATTCCATTTGGACCAAGTTTAGTTATTCTTTCAATGATGCATGCTTTTACGACCGAATCACAATAACATCCTTTATCTCTAAAATAAAATTCATTACAATTAAACTAATTTAAAACAAAAACGATAGCATTCGTTAAAATGAATAAATGCATAAAGTTATCTAATTTATAAAATTTAATACAATTAAATTAATTTAAAACAAAAACGATAGCATTCGTTGAAATAAATAAATGCATAAAGTTATCTAATTTAATTAATTAATTAATTAAAAATTTGAACAGAAAAGATTACCAAAAAATAATTTATAATCAAAAAATTCAGATAGCAAATATAAATTATTCACATTTTCTAATAATTCAAAAATGATAGACTAAAATGCAAATCAAAAATCCCACTTATTGAAGTTTAATTTGAATGTATCTGAAATTATTCTGGTAATTCATATTTAAATTTCAATAATACAATAACTAACGTCCATTTCTGTATATTAGCTAAACGACACCAATAAATTGGTTCACGCATATCGTAGCAATCTTTATGTGTAGTGCATGATCGTTTTCTAAAATGAAATATTTGTGAAAATATTTTAGTAAATTAAAAAGATTCAAAATAAAATAAAAATATTTACTATAATTTCAATTTACAAGAAAGCATAAATATTTATGAAGAATGTTGTAGAAAAAAGTAATTACATTCCATCGGTGTGTATAAATGTAGCACCGTTAGAACTTCGTAGAGTATCATTTATGACAATCTACAAAACTTTTACATTATTCGATATGAAGCAACAAAAATGAAAGATCAGGTATTTAATTGGGAATTTTCTACTAGTTTTTTTTTTGCCTACAAAAGATAAGTTTTAAGCAACAATATCATGTTAATAAATTATCAGATATGAGAAGAAATTTATTAATTGATAATTTTTTGATAAATTATATGATAACAAAAATCAATCAATATTGCTATATTTTAATACAAATTACCAAATTTCCGCTTCCTGGTTCTTTTGTCTGAAAAAGACTAATTTTTAAACAATAATATCATATTAATCAATTATCAGAGAAAAGAAAAACTTGCTAATTGACAATTTTTTTGATAAATTTTCCGATTATAAAATCAACAGTATTGTTATATTTCAATAAAACTCACCGTCTTTTTCTCTTCCAATTTTATTGTCTGTAAAAGATAAGTTTTAGAACAATAATATTATATTAATAAATTATCAGACAAAAGAAAACGATAACTGATAATTTTTTGATAAATTATACGGATACAAAAATCAATCAATATTGTTATATTTTAATGCAACGCACCAAATTTCCAATTATCAATTCTTTTTTCTGCAACAAATAAGTTTTTAAGCAACAATATCATGTTAACAAATTATCAGATAAAAAAAAATACCTTTTAATTGACAATTTTTTGATAAATTATTTAATCACAAAAATCAATCAATATTGCTATATTTCAATATAACTCACCAAATTTCCAAATAGAAATTCTTTTATCTGTAAAAGGTAAATTTTAAAGCAAACAGTATCATATTAATAAATTATCATAAAAGAGAAAATAAGTGATAATTAATAATTTTTTGATAAATTATATAATCACAAAAAAATCAATCAATATTGCTATATTTTAATACAGCTCACCAAATTCCCGCATAGATATTCTATCTGTAAAAAAATAAGTGTTTAAGTAAAACAGTATCATAATAATAAATTATCAGATAAAAGAAGATATTTGTTAATTGATAATTTTTCGATAAATTATACGGTTACAAAAAATCAATCAATATTGCTATATTTAAATACAACTCACTAAATTTTCGTTTCGCATTTCTGCAACCACAAAATAAAAATAAAATACAATCAGAGTTTGGAGGAAATTTTTCATAGTTATTGTATAATTTTTTACCTAAAAAAATTCACATTATTTTTATTTCAATTAATGAAAAACAATCACATTAATTAATTAACTTTTGCAAAGATAAATAACCCCTTGAATTTATTTAATCTTTATTTGTTTAATCTTTAAATTAAATCCTAACTAACTTCTCATATCCTCTTATTTCTTTTCATATCATGATACTATTTTAATTTTTTCATAGCAAACGAATTTATGATTGAATTATTTGAAATCGACAACGAAATAAATGACAGTCCTGTTTATGTATTAATACATAAGCATAACTTACTCAAAACAATCTTTTTGGTACGAATTACTAAAAATCATTTTTAACTTGATGATATATTATCAATAAAAGTTCTTTGATGCGATAACAACATTGCAATAATATTGATATTTTATTTTATTTCTTGCGACATTCTTTTGTATTCACTCCATTTCACGTGCCAATACATAAATATAAATATTGAATTAAATGTAACTATGAAAAGGTAAATAAATTTATAGCAAATATTTTTTTTTAAAGCTAAACAATTTGCACACCATAAATCAAATGATTCTTTTACATTCAAAATCCATTTCAAACATCAAAATTCAAATCATCGAATTCTGATTAATCAATTTACTAAAATAAACGATAAATTAAGCTAAAAAAAGAAAAACAACATTTGATTAATTTTTTTACAATTACTTCATGCTATTAATATGATAAATTTGTTCATTATTTTATTTTTTGAACTATCTTTAGATACAGATGAAACGGACTGACTTCAAACGAATTGACTTCTGAAACGAAATGAACTTCAGATACAGATGAAACGAATTGACTTCACTTCACTATTTGACTTCGAAAGATTTACCGTTTTGTCGAATGTTGAAAAAAACACATTCATATCAACAAGATAATTTCAATATTATATATAATTATTATTTTAATATTTCCTGTAAATCTATTCATCTATTTATGCGCCAAAAAAAGGCGCATTTGGAAGAATGGATTTTCAGTTATTTAATTACTGCACGATTTTAGTCACTGCAATTAATATTTTTTGATTTTTTTCTAAAACATTTTGATAACATTAAAGACAAATTATGTTTCAAATTTTATCGATTGCAAAATAATGCTAATTTAATTAGCCCACATTTTAACTTATTATTATATTATTATAATATTTATTATTATTATTATTTATGTGGGCTAATTTATTATTATTATAATATTTAAACTTATTATTATTATAATATTTAAACGATGAGAGGTTTAAAATGTAGGCTAATTAAATTAGTATTATTTTAGCCAAATTTCAAAAAGCTTTTTTTTCGTTGTTCCTTACCTCTAAATGTAGAATGTTGAAAAATTAATAATGGAAGAATAAAAATAATTACAATTTCTATTCTGATTTCGAATTCCAATTCCTTCTTAATATCAAATTCTTTTAACAAAGATATTATATTAAGCTGTTTATAGAAATGAAAAAAATTTTTGAGTAATAGTTGATTGGAAATTACTATCCGATTATGTCAAAAGGTTAATTTACATATTTTTTTTATCGGTTTTCAACGCTTATTAGGCGCAAAAAATTAACAAACTTGTCAATGTGTAAATGATAGAACGAGATAATTGCAAAATTGAGTTGGTGGAATAATTATTTTTGGTGCGCAACTTATATTAGCAACGCTTGAAAATACCCAATGATAAATTATAATTTCTAGAAGGAAAAGATTCGAAATTTTATTAAGGATAAGATTCAGAATTGCAATTTCTATAAAAGAGAAGGTTCAGAATTGCAACATCTGTAAGGAAAAGGAAAAGATTCAGAATTGCAATTTCTGTAAAGAAAAGGAAAAGATTCAGAATTGCAATTTCTGTAGGGAAAAGGAAAAGGTTCAGAATTGCAATTTCTGTAAAGAAAAGGAAAAGATTCAGAATTGCAATTTCTATAAAAGAGAAGGTTTAGAATTGCAATTTCTGTAAGGAAAAGGAAAAGGTTCAGAATTGCAATTTCTGTAAAGAAAAGGAAAAGATTCAGAATTGCAATTTCTATAAAAGAGAAGGTTCAGAATTGCAATTTCTGTAAGGAAAAGGAAGAGGTTCAGAATTGCAATTTCTATAAAAGAGAAGGTTCAGAATTGCAATTTCTGTAAGGAAAAAGAAAAGATTCAGAATTGCAATTTCTGTAAGGAAAAGGAAAAGATTCAGAATTGCAATTTCTGTAAAGAAAAGGAAAAGGTTCAGAATTGCAATTTCTGTAAAGAAAAGGAAAAGATTCAGAATTGCAATTTCTATAAAAGAGAAGGTTCAGAATTGCAATTTCTGTAAGGAAAAGGAAAAGGTTCAGAATGGCAATTTCTGTAGAGAAAAGGAAAAGATTCAAAATTGCAATTTCTTTAGAGAAAAGGAAAAGATTCAGAATTGCAATTTCTGTAAAGAAAAGGAAAAGATTCAGAAAATTGCTAGAAGGAGAAAATTTAGAAATTATTTAATTTATTGCAGAATTTCTTGGTATTTACAAAAATTTAAAATACATTTTTTCGCCTTGACAGTTATATTATGCAAATGAAATTGTTTGAATATGAAATGATTATAATGCGGAAAATGCAATAAAAGAACGAAAATTTTAAAATGTTATGATGGTGTAAAAGATTAAACTTTTATCCTTTCAATAGAAATGGTTGTCAGCGGCAATTTTTCAAACTATTATCAAATATTGCTATCATTTATTTTATTAGTTAAAGTGAAATAATTCAATTATAAATTTAATTATTATAAGAAGTATTAAAATAGTATTAAAATTGAAAAAAGTAAGGCTGAGAAGTTTGTAAAATTTAGTGTTAAAATTACAAACAGATAAATTAAATATTAAGGTAAAAATTAATTAAAAAGAAATTAAGCAAATTAATTATATAAACGTTTTCTTTATATGAAAAAGAAATAGTGCAAATTTTTTGAAAATATAATTTACAGTAAACTATGAAAATTTTGCTCCAATTTCTGGTTATGTTAAGAATATGTTTTCTGGTGACAACAATACATATACTAAATTTGGTTAGTTATATTAAAGTATAACAATATTGATTGATTTTTGCAGCTCTACTAATTTAGGAAAAATTATCAATTAATAAGCATTTTTCGCTTAACCAACTTCTGATATAGTATTGATACTTTAAGTTTGCCTTTACAAAATGGAAAGCATAAAATTTTAAAATCAGAAATTAATCATTTTTGTTTTTTGATTATTCCATATAAAAGTTTTATAGGATAATACATTAAGTGATGATAATGAAATGCCAACAAATTATTACGGTGCATCTTTCATAAACACCGATGGAATGTAAGCGATACATTAAATATTTATCAAATAAACACCGATACTAAGCTTATACCAAATTATCACTGATACCAAATATTTATACCTACTAGTAAAAATATATGATAAATGGATTTGTAGTAAAGATGTATGATAAAAGGATTTGTAGTAAAGATATATGGTAATGGTTTTCGATTTTATATTTGGAAAATTTTTAACCTATTTATTTCAGACAAAAATTCTGCTCATCTAATATTGATTGCTACAGTATGCGGGAGCCAACATTTTGGTGTCGCTTAGCCGAAAATCAACAATGGACGTAAATTTTTCTTTTTTTGAATACACTTAATTAAAAATTAATTAAGAATAAAATTAGGTTAATATTGCAAAAATAATATTTAAAAAAATTTCATCAATTCTTGAAAAGAAAAGAAGAAGAATTTTAATTGATATTAAATTTTATCGATTAGAAGAAGTAGAAGTTGTAAAATTGAATAAAATAATTTTCAGTGAAAAAGGATGTTATTGTGATCCAATTTTGAAAGCATGCATTATTGAACGAATTACTAAACTTGGTCCTGTAAGTAAAATCCATAATTATGCATACTGTATATCACAAATTTTCTGGCAATGTTCACCATATCAAATTATATAAAGAATTCCGCCGATGTTTCTGTTTTTCTTCTTGAAATTTCTTCAAAGTGATATAACACAATTATTATAATTGTTCGGATAATTTATATGTGAGTTTTTATATCAGTGTTACTGATAAATGCTTGAAATAGTTTCTGCAAGTTTCTGCAATAAACTGAAATAAAGCATTTGGTAAGATAACATAGTCTAAACTACTGAATTTCATTCAGTATCTCTAATTTGTATTTTCCGAAACATTCTTCCGTTCACAATTAATAAAATAAGAAAAAATTTGTAGAGGTATAAAATTTTACTTTTTAAATTGATGAAAAGTTTTAAGACAGAGGAAGAGTTTCGTCTAAAACATTAAATTCTGGGAAATGCTAGAAAGATATGATGTAAAATTTAAATAGTGATGAAATATAAAATTCAACAAAAATGTTGCAACTACAGTTTATGCTGAAAATTCAGTAAAATTTGATACAATATTACCGATACTTTTATCATTCATCTTGCGTGATACGCTGAACGTCTTGTGATTCATATTCACACAGATGCATATCTTATGATAACTTCAAAAATTTCCAACAAAGAAAAAATAAGATATTGAAACAAATATTTTTATTTCATTTTCATTTTGATGAATTAATTGTTAAGATAGAATTGTTCGAGAAATTCTGAATGTGAAAGGAAGTAAGGTAAGAGAGGAGTTAATCTTATTTGAAATAATCTGTTAACAACATTGCTTTTGAATTTCGTGTATCACTTGTTGCATCTTCTGATACGATCCGATATTAAAAATGAAACTTATTTGAAATAGTATTTCTTGCTACGTGCAATATCTTGCAGCCCACAATCCGTTCAGTACACAATGCACGTCAGCTTTTTTACTGAAACATTTCCAGACATTCTACGTGATATTTTTCATAGTTACCGTAGAAATTGGCTGTCATTAAAATTAAAATATTGTTTCCAATTAAAGCAATGATAAATTTTATCGATTTTTGAAATTTTCACTATGTATGTATTTATTTTTGTATGAATATGTTTAAATTTCAATTCAAATAGCGGAAATCTTTTCTATTTCAGTTTTTGTTTTCTTTTTCTTTGTTTTAGCCAAATTAATTCAAATTTTACAAAATTGACATTTTTCTTTTGGATGAGAAAATTTAGTACAGTTAAATTTCCTATCGTAAAATGAAACTACGGTAACTTATTGCATTATTAATTCAAACAAAGATATATTGCCATTAAATTAGTACAGTAAGAAAATAAGAATAAACAACGAAAGTTAGAATAAACAGTTACTTTTCCCATTATCTTTTAATTGCTTAAATTGTTAATCACCTCGATTTTACTCAGATATAATTGATAAATAAGAAGAGATAATAGAAAAGGGATGACACAACTAAATAGTTTCGAATTTAGAATTCATCGGAAAATAAAACATATTAAAAATTTTAAATCCTTAGTTTTCTTATGGCATTCATTTGATTCAAACATTTATTTAGCTGCGATAATTAATTAGACAAAATTAATAACGAAGAGAATATTGGCATATCAAATTTAAACAACACATCAAAATTCATGCGAAAAAATGAAAGCAACATGAGGTTCTATCAAATTATAATTCAAAACTTCCAATCTAATTTCATCAATCACTTTCGGCATCCAATAAGCAAATAATAATGGACAGAGCACAAATGATAGAAAACAATGTACAAATACAATTTAAACCAACATAATACAATAGTTCATATACCTGTGAATTCAAGAATTTCCATTATTAATATTTCCGTGTCAATGATATCTTCTGCTATCGAATTTATTAAGGAGCTTACTGTCGAATATAGCTTTTCACTCGAACTTTTATGCGTATTCATATGTTTTTTCAAATTATGAATTCGAGTGAAATTCTTTCCACATTGCTTACATTCGAATAGCGCGTTTTCGTGCGTCAATTTGTGTCGCTGCAGAGCTGAACGATGTTTGAATGCTTTATCACATAAGTTGCACTTCTCTGTCTTTTCGTCCGTATGTGTCTTCATATGGCGCATCAGACAGTGACGCCCTTTAAATGCTTTATCGCAAATTTCACATTTGAATCGTCGTACTTCATCGTGCGTCGATTTGTTACGATTCAGATTGCTCGAGGTAGAATACAGCTTTTCACTCGAACATTTGTGTATATTCACGTGTTTTTTCAAACTATGATTCCGAGTGAAATTCTTACCACACTGTTCACATTTGAATGGTCGTATGTTGTTATGTGTCAGTTCGTGTGCCTTCATGTTTGAATGCTGACTGAATGTTTTGTTGCATACCTTACACACATAGTTTTTCTCACCGGTATGTGTCCTCATATGGCATTTCAGATGGCCTACATGTCTGAATTGCATATCACATACCTTACATATATGGTTTTTGTCACCGGTATGTATCTTCATATGGCATTTCAGATGGCTCGGTTGTCTGAATTGCTTATAACACATCTTACATGTGTAGTTTTTTTGAGCATTGTGCATCACCATATGGTATCTCAGAGAGTTTGCATGTCCGAACTGCTTATCGCATACCTTACATGTGCAGTTTTTTTCGCCGGCATGTACTCTCACATGGCATTTCAGAGTAGATGCATGTCTGAATTGCTTATCACATACCTTACATATGTAGTTTTTTTCACCAGTATGTATCCTCATATGGCATTTCAGAGTGCCTTTACGTCCGAATTGCTTATCGCATACCTGGCATTTGAACCATTTTTCTTTTCCCTTAGTGTTATTAGCCGCGATCGTTATTTCCTTGTCATTCCTTATTCTTGCTTGTATTGGCAGACTCTCATCATTTGATACCTGAAATAATTCTCAATAATTTGTTCATAGATTGATTACTGTTTTTCAATGTGACAAAAATAATTTTGGGATTCAGTGCACAAATTTTTTCCGCTTCACTTTTGTTTTTGCTATAGGATATGATCGCAAAACACCGAATATATAGAAGTAACAAGGAAATACATAAGAAATGAGAAAATTTAATTTTCCTTCACAGGAAGCAACTGCTTTTGTTTCCAGCTAAAATAACTTTGTATTTAGTTTCTATACTGAAATCAATATCTTATTCACATACCGTTACTTGCGCGATATATAACGGCAGAGCAATCACCACCAAATAACATGATGCAAACATGATTGGGAAGTGATGGAATGCAGAAATCGTCAAAGCCTTTTCGAAGAATATTTTTAGCAAACAAATAACCAAACGAAGTGACATTAACAGAGGGAACCGTTTTTATGCATTCCGGTAAGCCGTATGATCTATGACCAAATATAATCCAAAACCCCAGTCTTTTCGTATAATAATAACGCATATCTCCAACACGCTCTTAAATTTTTTGTTAGTTACACTGAATAATAATAGTTTCATGGAAATGCGATTACAACTGGTAGCATTGTCTAGAACTGTCACGAAATCCTTACAACTCGGAATGGAATGAAATCATCGGGAGAGTGTGCACAATCATCTAATGTGTAATTATCAACAAGAAACGATGAATCATTGATATTTTAAAAATGTAAAATTTGAAATTATTCGTAATTCTCAAAATTTAAACTAATTGCCACTAAATTGCCTTGCCGTTGTATATATCGCACAAATAACGGTATGTTGAAGAAAGTATTTCGCTCAGTTTAGATTTGTATGAATTGATTTTCGAATGACTGAAATAAAACTAGAAATCATAAAAAGATTATTTTAAGTATTTTCGCTTCTATTGTTTTATCATGTTTTTCTAACATACATATAATATTGCTTTTCGATGAAAGAAGGCTTTTTAAATTTCGGCAATAAAACGATATAGTCTGTTTCATATTTTTGTTCCTTTGATTTCGATATAGTCTGTTTCATATTTTTGTGCCTTCGATTTTATTTCGTAACATTATTACTTTTTACATTTCTAAAGTGAAACTGAAAGAAACAGATAGGAAGAAAATGACAGAAGTGATAACAAAAAAGTGGACGATAACAGGTTATCAGCAATCTTTTGTCACATATTCTGGAAGAGATTATTTCCTGTAAATACTTATACTTTGTTTGATTTGTTATAACCTGTTTTTTTGTTATAGTCTTGTTATTAATAAAACTAAAAATATTTCAAGCAATTAATTTGAATGAAATATTCAGTTTTCGTTTTGGTTATTCGAAAATCAATGACAATAAAATCTTTAAATCGATAATATTTAAAGGAATGGATTATTGATCGCCTTGAAAGTCTGTTTGTTAATGCTGAGGATATGTTCAATGAATATCTAAAAATTTTAACAATAATTAGTTTGAATTTTATAAATTTCAAATTATTTCAAACTTAAAATATTTTTAACAAAAATTGTTTCTTCCTGAAGATTATATATTAGAATATTTGTGCAATGGTTTCATCCCATTCCGAGTTGGAATAATTTTGAATTTTTGCTAGATTCCTTGCTACATGCACTATCTTGCAATATGTTCAGCTGATATTACATGTCACTTTTTTCTCCTGAAACTTTTCCAGACATTCTACGTGATATTTTTCGTAGTTACCTTAGAAGTTATTTAAGAGCTTCATAATCATTCTGTGATACTTAAGATCTGTAATATCAAAAATAGTATTACAAATACTAAAATGTTAAGGGAAGATTACAATATCATCTCTTTCTTTTGGATAAATTTTGTTGATAAAAATCGAAATTTTAATATAGTTATACTTTCTTGCAGCAAGTAAAAATTGCCGAATATAATTTTGCATTTAATACATCGATAGAAATTTTATAATCGCATTTGTATGAAACTATTATCATTCAGTGTAACTAACAAAAAACTTTGGAGTGTAGTGGAATAAAAATTTGTGAAAATGCAGAGGTTTTGTGATTATGTTTGGTCAGAGATCATACGGTTTACTGGAATGCTTAAAAAACGGTTCTATCTGGTAAATGTCATTTCGTTTGGCAGGTTTGTCTGCTGAAAATATTTTGCGAAAAGTTTTGACGATTTCTACATTCCATCACTTCTCAATCATGTTTGCATCATATTATATGGTAGTGATCGCTTTGCCGTTGTATATCGCGCAAATAACGGTATGTGAATAAGATATTGCTCTCAGTATAGAAATTAAATACTCGCAAAATTTCTATTTTAACTGTAGACAAAAGCAAAAGAAGCTTCATCCTGCAAAGGAAAATTGAATCCTTCATTATCTATTTCCCTGTAGTTTCTAAATATTCGGTGTTTTGCGTTCATATCCTATAGAAGAAACCAAAATGAGACGTAAAAAATTCGTACGTCGAATCATTTTTGTCACATTGAAAAACAACAATCAAATCTATAAACAAATTATTTAGTATTATTTCAGGTGTCAAATGATGGCAGTTTGCCAATTCAAGCAGAAATAAAAAATGACAACGAAATAACGACTGTGGCTAATGACAGTAAGGCAAAAGGAGAACGGTTCAAATGTGTGGTGTGCGATAAGCAATTGGGATATGCAAGTACTCTGAAACGCCACATGAGGATACATACCGGTGAAAAAAACTACACATGTAAGACATGTGATAAGCAATTCAGGCATGCAAGCACTTTGAGATGCATATGACGATACATACCGGTGAAAAAAGCTGCATATGTGAAGTATGTGACAAGCAATTCGGACGTCGAAACGCTCTGAAATGCCATATGACGGTGCATACCACAAATGTGCAGTATGCAGCAAAGCATTCAACGATCGTTCAAATCTGCAGAGACACAAATTGACGCACGAAAACGTACGACCAAACAAATATAAACAGTGTGGTACGAATTTCGCTCATAATTGTAATTTGAAAAAACACGTGAAAATGCGTAAAATTTCGAGTGAGAGGCTGTATTCTACATCGGGCGATCTGAATCAAAAAAAATCGGAGCACGTGGAAATACGACCATTCAAATGTGAAACATGCGTTAAAGCATTTAAAGTGCATCACCATCTGAAACGCCATATGAAGACACATTCAGACGATAAGACAGAGAAATGCAACTTATGTTGTAAAGCATTCAAACACCGTTCAGCACTGCAGCAACACAAATTGACGCACGACAACATGCGATTTAAATGTAAGCAATGTGGTAGGAAATTCACTCAAAAGGAATATTTGAAAGAACACATGGCAATACATCAAAGTTCGAGTGAAAAGCTATATTCGACAGTTAGCTCCTTATCGGCATCGATAGCAGATATCATCGACACAGAAATATTAATAAGGGGAATAATTACATTCTCAGCAATATAAATTATTGTATTGTATTGGCTTAAATTATATTTGTATATATTTTTTCTGATCGCTTGCGCTTTGTCACTATTTTGGTTGTCGACTGGGTAGGAGATCGATGAAATTTGGTAAAAAATTTTAATTGTGATTTAATAGAACTTTTCCCATAAATATTATCGATTAAAAAATTATTATCATTGATTCTCATATAACCAAAACAATAATGGATTATTTCATTCCTATTAATTATTTGAAATATTTTACTTTTATTAGTTTAAGCATAATAAGGTAAATGGAATACCAGTATTCGACTAAATAAGAGTATTTTAATTTCGACAGTAAAATATTTAAGTATAGTCTGCTTCATATTTTTTGTGCTTTCAAATGATTCACTTCATTTATTTTGTGTTTTTATTATTTTTACATTTCAAAAATTATACTGAAAATAACGGATAAGGTAATATAGAGGTTAGCGAAGTAGTGGAGGATAAACGAACTTTTATTGGATATTATGGGAAAAACGATTTTCTGTTAATAATAGTTTATTGAAATCAAAATTTTTGCTCTGAAACCTTTTGAAAATGCGTAGTATTTGTAGATGTAAAATTTCCATCTGCGATATAGCAAATATTGAAATGTTAAGTGAAGATTACAATATCGCCCCTTTCTTTTAGCAAAATTTTGCTGATAAAATTCGAAATTTAAATATTGTTATACTTTCTTGCTGCAAGTAAAAATTGCCGAATATAATTTTGCATTTAATACATCGATAGAAATTTTATAATCAAACATGAAATTTAATGAAATATGAAATAAACTATCATTGTGTGCATTGTACAATGAATAGTATTTGGGAATATGTATCTTTGACCTCTTTGGTTTGTGGAATTTTTGAAGAAATCAACATTGGTAGTAAATGTAGAATGAAACATTTTCGTTTCCTAATCATTTTTACTTGCTAGCAGCAAATTTAGCTAAAACGATATTAATTCTATTTTGGGAGCGCTGCTCGAATCTTACAGAATTAGAAAAAAAGCTAAATAGAAAGTGAAGGATAAACAGATTCTTGACGCAAATTCAGGATAAAACAATTCCCTGTAAATATTTAATTTTCAAACAATTTAAGTTGAAATTTTTGCACTGAAATCTCTCAATTCAATTTTTATAAATAAATTTGACATTCGTAAATGTAAAATTTCCATCCATATTGTGACGTATGCAGAAATGTTAGTGAAAAATAGCCGAAATAAATTTATTTTATTCAATTTGATAAAATTTAATTAATTATAATTAATTGAATAAACTGAACTGAATTGAATTGAAATTACTTGCATATGTTAAATTGGTATCCGAATTGCTACCAGTTTTTTGCAACACTTTTTTGGTGTTGTTTTTACGTGCCAATGTCATCGATAATATATATATATTTTACGTGTCAATGTCATCGATAATATATATGTATTTTACGTGCCAGTGTCATCGATATTTAAATTTTAAAACATTTCTATTAGTAGTAAAAACAATTATATTTTTACAAGTGACATTTATTTGATTTAATAATTTATTTATACATTTATTTGATTTCGGTAATTGATCAGACAAAATTGATAGCGAAGAGAATATTGGCATAGTAAATTTTAAACAACACATTAAAATTTATGTGAAAATATGAATGCAATGCGAAGTGCTATCAAACTGTAAATTAAAATTCATATCCAACTTCATCGATCGCTTACTAATTCAACCACAAAATAGCGAAAGCACAAACGAGAGAAAGCAAAATGTAGCAAATTTAATTCAAGCCAGCACAATACAATAATTTATATTGCTGAGAATGTAATTATTCCCCTTATTAATATTTCTGTGTCGATGATATCTGCTATCGATGCCGATAAGGGGCTTACTGTCGAAGACAGCATTTTTCTTGAACTTTCATGTGTATTCATGCATTCCTCCAAATTATCCGTTCGAGTGAAATTCCGAAAACGTTCTTCACATATGAGTGGTCGTACGTTTCTATGCGTCAATTCGTGTGCCTTTAGATGGCTGGACTGTCTGAATGTTTTTTTGCATACCTTACATGTGTAATTCTTTTCACCAGTATGCATTCTCATATGGCATTTCAGATTGCATGCATATCCGAATTGCTTATCGCATACCTTGCATATGTGGCTTTTTTCACCGGTATGTATCCTCATATGGCATCTCAGATTGCTTGCATATCTGAATTGCTTATCGCATACCTTGCATATGTGGTTCCTCTCACCTGTATGTATCCTCATATGGCATTTCAGATTGCCTGCATATCCGAATTGCTTATTGCATACCTTGCATATACGGTTTTTTTCGCCGGTATGCATTCTCATATGGTATTTCAGATTGTTTGCATATCCGAATTGCTTATCGCATATCTTGCATGTGTAATTCTTTTCACCAGTATGCATCGTCATATGGCATTTCAGATTGCTAGCATATTTGAATTGCATATCGCATACCTTGCATGTGTGGTTGGTTATTTTATTGCCGGTATGTATCCTCATATGGCGTTTCAGAGTGCTTGCATATCCCAATTGCTTATCGCACACCACACATTTGAACCATTTTTCTTTTGCCTTACTGTCATTAGTCACAGTCGTTATTTCCTTGTCATTTCTCATTCCTGCTTGTATCGGCAAACTCCCATCATTTGTTACCTAAAATAATCCTAAATAATTTTTTTCATAGGTTTGTTTGTTGAATTTCAATGTAACAAAAGTGATTCTGTGGTTCAATGCACAAAACTTTTGCGTTTCACTTTGCGTTTTGCAGCAGAATATGATCACAAAACACCGAATACATATAAGTAATAGGGAAGTAGATAAGAAATAAGAAATTTTTCCTTTACAGGAAGCAGCATTTGACTGTCTTCAGCTGAAATTAAAAACTTTGTGAAAACTTATTTCCTATACTGCGAGCAATATCTTATTCACATACCGTTATTTGGGCGATATACAACGGCAAAGCAATCACTACCAAATAATGTGACGCAAACATGATTGGGAAATGATGGAACGTAGAAATCGTCAAAACTTTTCGAAAATTATTTTTAGCAGACAGCCTACTAAACGAAGTGACATTTACCAGAGAGAACCGTTTTTAAGCATTCCAGTAAGCCGTATGATCTCTGACCAAATATAATCACAAAACTCCCGTTTTTTCGCATGATAATTTTGATTCCACCACACTCTAAAATTTCTCGTTAGTTACATTGAATAATAATAGTGTCATACAAATACGATTACAACTGGCAACATTATTCAGAGTTGTCACTAAATCTTTCCAACTCAGAATGGAGTGAAATCATTGGAAGAATGTGCACAATAATCTACAAATGCTGAAATGCGAAAATAAAATGTTACGATATCATCTCTTTCTTTTGGATAAATTTTGCTGATAAAATTCGAAATTTAAATATTGTTATATTTTCTTGCTGTAAATAAAAATTGCCGAATATAATTTTGCATTCAATAGATCGATAGAAATTTTATAATCCAGCATGAAATTTAATGGAATATGAAATAAGCTACCATTGCGTGCATTGTACAATGAATAGTATTTGGGAATATGTACCTTTGACCTCTTTTGTTTATGGAATTATTGAACAAATCAACGTTGGTAGTAAATGTAGAATGAAACATCTTTTGCTTCTCATTCATTTTTACTTGCTAGCAGCAAGTTTAGCTAAAACGATATTAGTTCTATTTTGGGATCGCTGCTTGAATCTTACAGAATTATAAATGGATAAAATATACTAACACGGCTTAAGAAAAAAATGAAACTCATAAAATGTAAATAAATTATAGTAAACAATATTTAAAAACCAAAAAAAACATATTTACACATGAATAAATAAACTATAACAATAAACAAAGTATGAGAAATCAAATACTAAAAAGCACTGATACCCTCAATTTGATAATCTTATAAAAGTAAACAAAATAAAGGAGACAATGATTTATAATCGATTCATTAAAAATATCAAACATCATAAAATTCTCAGAAATTAAAAAAGCAAAAAAAACGATAATTAATATTTGAATCAATGAAAAATGATAATTAACCATATTTGAATCAAAGTAGAATTATTTGATTTCGATGCTGTTTGATTAAAATTCAAATTAATTGCCATCTGAGTTGAGAGATTTGGTGACAACTCTGAACAATGTCGCCAGTTGTAATCGTATTTGTATGAAACCATTAAAATTTTCACGTATTCTTTTTT